TGATAAATATAAGAATAAAGAAAATGCATTACCTTGTTCCGATGACGATTGATGGATCTTTTGGTTTTCTAAAAAAATTGTATGAATTTATTATGTCGACTATAGCATTTAAATTAATGTTTATATACATATTCTGTTTTTTATAGTCATACTAAGAATTGTACATTCTTCTTCTTATTGGACAAACATAGATATGGTGAAAAAGAACATAAAGTATCCCCTTTAAGCCAGTAGTAGCAAGGGCCCTTCGACTACTCGACATTTTATGTGGCAACCTCTGCTACCTCTTCCCCCAAAACAGTAAATTGCACCTACAGTAACAAATACTACTCCAATACAAGCAAAAGTATCGATGCCAAGTCTAACTACTCTAGTCGAAACCCCTACTTTGGAAGTTATTATGGCATTTAACATGTCATAGTTTAAGGGTAGAAGGCTGAGTTTCGATTTGCCAACAATGACTCATCTAGATCGATGGATACTTATACATTTTCTCAAAAGAAGCTAAGTTTCTCTACTCCAATTCATATCATTCATTATATGTAATCAATTTGGTTAATTAATTTATGCATTTTACTAATAATAAGTCTATTTTGTAATACTTTTGAGGAAAGTGACATTACTTTGACGATTACATGGATTGTTAAGAGTAATTGTAGTGGACCTTGGCTAGCATGAAGGCAAGTTCCTTAAGAGCAAAAGGATAACATGTGGAAAAAATTGGAGGTAACGTAAAGACATACTATTAGTGTATAACATTGGATAATTTCCCGTACTAATATATATTTTCCTTGGATGTAGGAATCTTTTACATGGGCTATTGCAGATGCAATGGAGGTCCGGTATATATGGAGAAGATTTGCAAGGACCACCTCAAGGACCTATTATAGAATGAGGGCGACAGTGCCAAAGGGGAAGCGGGTGGCCCTAACATTGCTCTCGTATTGACGAAGGGTCAGACGTGACCTTTTATCACTTATAAGGTATGGGACCAGCTAGTTAATGACGAATGGTTGAAGCTCAAGTGGCAATCAGGCTCACACAAGGCTGAGCAGAACTGCCTAACCAAGAAGGACGAGAATGTAACAAAACATATAAGCAATTCCTTACTTTTGCCTTACACCAGAAGTGGCTAGTACATGCTTTTATTTTCATATTACAAAAATCATTTACTTTAAAAATACAATTTTTTAGGTTGTTAACATGTTTTTATGATTACAAGAAGAGGAAAAGCAATGTCAGGTTATGTTTTTCAAGCTTTTTGAGCACATTCACAAGCAACGAATGGTACCAAAGAAATTATGGACAACAAGTCTAAAAATGTCTATGTAAGTAATACTTGTGCTTTTATATATACATACACACATATATATGTGTGTGTGCATATATATACATATATATGTATATATGTTTGTATATATATGTATTTATGTTTGTATATATATACACACATTTGTATATGTTTGCATATATACAAATTTATATGTATAATGTGTGTGTATGTTTATATATATATTCGATATATATGTTGCTTACCGATTAAATAACTTAATAATTTTTAATTGCATTTTTATTTGTAGGAATCATATGCTTTTGCTATATCACAAGAGTATGGTGACGAGCCGTCGACCTAACTAGAGTTTGATCCATAGGCATGGACCAAGGCCACTAGAGGATGCACTTACACTAGGACCCACGTTTACAGATTTGGCATCAGATTTCCTGCTTCGAGACTTCTAACTACATTCGCGACATCTAAGTTTGCTTGTGGCCTTGCCATTACACCACCTCCTTTGACTCCTGTGCCTAAGCCCGAGGGTTATAAGGAATTGGTTATCGACGTCAAGGACTTGAAAATGCCTTTTAATAGACTTAGTGACTTGTTGATGGAGGTAATTGGATCAAGGAGATCGTCAGAAACCTCCGGGCCTTCCTTATCATAGTAGTTAGATCCGCAACCTCCACCACAAAACCAGCAATAGCCACCCCTACCCCTTCACTAAGATTTGTATTTATATTGGATGTTTACATTTGGACTATTATTAGGTGTTTACATTTGTATTATATTTTCATTTTTTTCTATATATATGCATTTTTGTGTTTGCTATATGTTAAGTTTATTAATAACAACATCATCTATTGATTTTATTACAAGCAGGATAAAATTTGATCCTAAAAAATATATGTTCTGTAAGTATTACTGATGAAATTACCGACGGATTTCATCATTTACCAACGGAATCGTCGATGGAATTTATCGTTTGTTGACAGAATTCATATAAAATATCGACAAAATATCAACGAAGTTATTGCCATTTGTCAATAGATAATGCTTGTAAGCTTCCAAGCAAAATTCGTTGGCTATTCGCCGTAATTCCGTTTGTATTTTCCAATGGAATTGCCAACTAAATAGTTCCAATGTAACCACCGACAGAATTTTTTATGGGTTTAAATTTGTTGGTATTGTTATTGATGGAATTTACTGATCGATTTTCCTCCTTGTTGACGACATTTTGATCGACAGATTTGAGTCTTTGTCGATGAAATTTTCGGTTGGTAAGTTATCGATGGAATATTCCATCGCTGATGGATATACCTTTACCAACGACGGCATTTTCAACTGACAATCAGCGAAATTTTCTGTCAGTATTTCCACCAGTAATTCTTTTTACCGCCCGAATCATAAGTATTAGCGAAAAAAAATTTTGCCAGCAATACCCTTTTTTTTGTAGTGCTTTTTTTTCTCTTTCTTTAGGGTTTTTGATTCTTCCTAATTGTCTTCTTCCCTTTACTTCACGAGGATCCTTGGACATGGGTAGGGTGGCCATACGACCACCTCACCCTGGTGAGGTCTTGACCAGGCACGAGAGTATCATGCTTGGAAAGTTCACTTGTGCACATTGTCAGTGTGTACGGATGCGGTAGTGCTGGGTATGGTTTTGTCGCCACGCCCAACTATCCACCATTTACTAGTTTCCTTTCTTTTTCTTTTTATTTTTCTTTATTTGGTTTTGTTGTTTTTTCTTTTTATATTTCCATATTCTTTTTTTCTTTAATATTCTTGCCTTAATTCTAAGGACAGGAGGTGGTTGCCCAATCATAGGCTAAAGTCAAATATATCTCTGCCTCTGCTGCTACCAATCATTCACTTCGTTTGAGAAAGGTTCTCTGTAATTTGGGGTTTCCTTAAACAAGTCCCACAACTATTTGGGTTGATAACCAGTCAGCAATAGCTATAGCAAGAAATCCTGTCTAGCATGGTAGAACGAAACATATTAGAGTAAACTACCACTCTATTCATGAAGCCGTGAAAGACAGAGAGATTGAAGTCTCCTATTGTTGTTCAAGTAATCAACTAGCAGACACAATAACTAAGAAACTACCAACTAGGGGTGAGCAAATAGAAACCTAACCAAACAACCAAACCGAACCGAAATGAGTTCGGTTTTTTCGATTCGGTTAGTTCGGTTATTCGATTATTTCGATTAGAACAGTTCGGTTAATAAAATTATTTTGATTTGGTTTCAGTTAGGAAAAATTCTAACCGAGCTAACCGAACTAACTGAACCTAAATAAAGGTGTTATAGACATTTTACATGAAAAAATAAAGATTAAACCTAAATGCCTAATTTCATCTCTTTGGTTCCTCTTGGGCTGTTTGCCTCTCTCGACCATCTCATCTCCTGTTTCCATACTCTCCCTCCCCAGACTCTCCAATTTCCAGTTCTCCACCACCTTTTTCTCTTCCCCTTCTCTCATGATCTCGTCCGTCCCACGATCTAACCATCTCCACTCTCCATACTCTCCTTCAGTGTCCGGCTGTCTGCCCTCTTCTCTTCCCCTTCTCTCATTTTTTGGTGCTGTCAAAACTTTCCCTCCAGCACCTGCAGCGCTGCCAAACTCCCATCCTAGCAACTGCAGCGTTGCAGGGCCAATCCCCCAACGTTGCAGCGTTGCCAAAACTTCCCCTCCAGCACCTGCAACGCTGCAGCACCAATCCCCCAGGGCTGCAGCGCTGCCAAAACTTCCCCTCCAGCACCTGCAGCGCCAATCCCTCAGCGCTGCGGCCCTGCCAAAACTTCCCTCTGCTGGAGGATTTATTTATTTAAATATTAGGCAACAATAATTTTTTAGGATCATTTTTAATATTGATTTATTTTAAAAAATACAACATAAATATATATAAACAAAAATAATTGTTAAGTTCGGTCTTTGAAAACCAAACCGAACTAACAGAAATAGTTTAGTTTCGGTTAGTTCGGTTAGTTATATACTTCAGTTCAGTTTCGGTTACGGTTATTTTTAAATAAGAATTCGATTAATTTAGTTATTGGATATCCAATAACCGAATTAACCGAACTAACCGTTTGCACCATCCTACTGCCAACAAATAAGTTTCCTGCAGTAAAGAGTAAAATGAGAGTCTTCAACATTGATCTCAAGGAGGTGTGTTAGAAATTGAGATCAATTGAAGAAACTTTTGAACATCATATCAGAGTCTTTCTTTTCTTTTGATATGCTGCACATCAAGAACGTGGCTCGAGACGCAGTCGTGAAGTTGACATAGACTATTTTTTTCTTTTGTGTATTGGCCAATCAGGCCACCATGCTGTGAATGTGACATGTAATTGGTTGACTTAGTGTAATGGTTCGTTTTTCCTTTTAGATGTTCAAAGGCTACGTTTGTAATATAAACACATGATGAATGAAAAATAGATATCTTCTCCACTCCTCTATTCGAACTTCTCACTCACTATGTCTTACTTCTTTCTCAAAAATATATTCATGTAAAACTATTACACAGGAGATAAGAAAGGTGGGTGGGACAGTGGAAATGACGATGGTGGGGGAAGAAGAAGAAAATAGAAACAAATAAACGAGAGAATATATTTAGCCTAGCAAGTGTAGTAGGAATATGTGAAAATTGTACAATAATACTGTGAACAGGTATGCTGCTCGTACTAGCTCAACTTAATATTCCAAAACCAGTAGGCAGCTGCTTAAGTATAGCATTTGTCAGTTGAATAAGTGGTGGACATCTCACTTGGACATTGAGGTGAATCCCATGGTAGATTGGGCTTCCATGTATCAGGCACGTTTGGGGCCAAGCTGAAGGGAAATCCCATTGATCGGATGGTTCCCCAATGGTTATCATCAGGGGTTCCATTCGAGTTCCTCCTCATGCCCTCCTCACTTTTTCCTACACCTGCATTCACTTGCATATCTTGGGGCATGCTGATTGAGAAGCCACTATATTGCTGTTGTTGCCCTCCAAAATCTATACTCTCGGAGGCCTTAGTAACATCAGAGATCAAGGGTGGACTCAATAGCATGGGAGCAGCATCAACTGTACACTTGGGGGTTCCTGACATGTCAAGCTGAGAAAACATGAAGTTGTTGTGAAGGTCTCCATTGGAAACAGAAAATAGAGATGGTCTGTAGACTGTCGTATTGAATGGTTTATAAGAGTGAATATCCACAGCAGAAAAACTAGCAGTGGAGCCTTGTTGTAGTACACTGTTGCTGCATAATTGTATTGCTGATTCGATTTCAGTTGCGCAAGAAATGTCCTCTGAACTGAATTGAGGGCAAGGTGCACCTTGGTGGAGAATTTCAGATGCTGTAATCTCAGGTAATGAAGATATCCAAGGGTGAGAAAGAGCTCTCTGAGCCATGGAATTGGTCTTTTTGAATATCCTACAAATAGCCCATGCATCCTGTGGGTAAAGCAAAATTAAATAAACTGGTGATTTTAGACAGCTTCTAATTAAGGGAAATATTGAAGAATTAATTCAAGTATCATTACATTTGCAGGAAGGCTTTTGTCCAAGAGTCTTTTCGGTGGTGTTGAGTCTGAGAGTGAAGGTAGCCGAAATTCATGCATCATCCAGTCTGTTTTAATCCCTTTGGCGGCTCTGCCTCTGTAGAAAACTAGGGACTTCTTCAAACCAAGACACTTGGTGCTATCAGAAGAGTAAATAGGACGGTCTGTTCCAGTTGCCTTCCAAAACCCGGCTCCCGTGACTCTGTTAGGCCTTGCACTATTTCTGTATTTACGGTCCCTGGGGCAGTAGAAATACCACTCTTTCTCCCCTGAAGCTGCTAGCTCTGCTTTTAGAAAAACGGAAAAGGAACCATAAGGCACTCTCTTACAACTTTTTCCTTAGAAGGACCAACAAAAAATAATTCAACAAAGATAATTAAAGATTATTCTCAAATGTTTTATCTGAACACGGGGAGAAAGATGAGAGCATAATAATGCAGACAGAATAACAGACAAACTTATGGACACCGGACAGCAGTGATGTTAAAACTTTTGTGAGCTTATGCCCTGCCAAACATGGAGAGGCTTCCGATAGGGGTATTAAACAATACTATTCTATGACATAGTGATAATGAAAAGCTGAAAACTTACTTGGAAGATCCCAGGGCTCATATTTATATATATCTACTTGCCTAATCAGCTCAATGGGCAAAGGTCTCTGCTGAATCTTTCTCCTGAGGTAAAATCCAACAAGCTCCTCATCTGTTGGATGAAATCGAAAACCAGGCAACATCACATCTTCAACCTTATCCACATCAATCTTCTCATCCATGTTACTCTTACTCCTCTCCGGAAACTATAAGAGGCAGCAAGTTGATGAAGATTTGTGTAAACCGAATACAAAAGGAGATGGCCTAATCGCGTTCACAATCCTCAAAACTGGAAGCTGGTATTCTTCTGAGCAAGAAAACTTTGAAGAAGCTGAACTGTTGAATATTGATGCAGCAGCAAGAGCTTAAGCCATGAAGCAGTTTTGGGACATGAGCTCCAAGAGAGGACCAAGAATACAGTACTAGCTTAGTTCGCTTATTTCAAAGCCAATTATACGCCACCTGAGAAGGGTTCTGTCCCCGAAGCCTAGGCCGCGCTTCCAGGGTGACTATAAGGGAGAGCGTGTTTATGTGAAATTCAATTCACGATGCCTTTGGTGAGAAGTTGAGCTTAGCTTAAGCCAAGCTGAGCTCTTTTTAAATAACGGATTTCATTGAACTCAAAGTTAAGGCAACGAGAATTTTAATTGAACTCCCTTTCATCCTCAACCCCATATGAAGCTGTTTCAATCCAATATAATGATCTGAATATGACTATAAAATCAGCTGTTTTTGGGGATATTCAAAAACAAATTGCTTTCACACACTCCTCGGCTTCAACTCTCACGGGAAACCTCTTGTTTTTATCCTGAAAAATCAAAGACAAGATGACAAAGCAACCTTCCATAGCATACTATTTTAATGCTCTACTTTATTTAATCTTTGCTTGAATAGTTTTTTGTTCGCTATACTCCAGGCCAGGCCAACTACCTACACAATAAGTTCAAACTTGTATTCAAGTCCATGAGATTCTCTGAAAATTCCTTAGAGACCCCTTTTGAGGAAAAACTGCCCTTTCTGTTCCTATCCACTTTCCCTGTCACACATGAACAAATTACAGCCATTTGCCCCTCTTGGAAACACATCGTGTAAATATTTGCCCATTCCCTGAATCTCATATTCATGGAGTAATTTCTTTCTTTATTCGATCAAATGAACGTGGATATTTGAGCAGAGAATACATGGATTTGTTATTGAATCAAATACATGAAGGTTTAATTGTGAATTTTATTCATAATTTTGCTTAATTAATGTATAAATCTAAAACCACTATTTTATATGTGTATGTTGAAGGAATCATTAAAAAATTTAGTAACCCATTAAAGGGGTTTACCACATGCATCTTGGGTTTAGTTATTTATACTAAATGAAACAATCCGAATTTATCTCGTACCCAATTTTTTTCTGATAGAGACTTAGCTTTATTGGGAGTTTTTACCTTTTTTTTTTTTTTCGAATTAATCTAGAAAGTAGTTATGACTAATGATTATGGAAACGTTAGGCAAACAGTGCAGCTTTGATCAAAATGTGATTGCACTCAGTTAAAACAAGACTGTTCACCGAACTGTAAGAGATTAGCAGTTCAACTACTTGGATTACTGGTAAGAGACCAATGATGTAAGGTGGGATCATTATCCATGCATGATATTTATGCTCATGGAATAAAGGTGAAAGTGTAAAACCTTTTACTCAACTTTGCTAGAAAAGTTCACAGTTTCTCTGTATCAATTTCAATAGATTTTTTTGATATAAACAATAATTAAATACAAAATTCTAAATGTTTGCATACCAAACTTTATGGAAGTAGGCTTTTTATCGTATGGTAAGGAAGTCAGCCACACTGAACGATGAAAAGTAATTTATTTGGTAATCCTAATGCCCTGCCTTTAATGTCATTAAAAAAAAAGGGGGGGGAAAGGAAATGACATGAGTCAATCTCCTCAATTTTATGAACTTTGGAATATGGAATTCCTCAAATTCAAAACCATTTTGGTAATGCCTTTGTCCTGGTTTCCAACGTAAAGGAATTTCCTTTTTCGTTTTTTAACCATAAAAAAATAAAACATTTTGTAGATTTTGAATATTTATGTTAAAGTATTGCTATTTTATTCGACATTTCTCCTTGAACAAATAATACCACCACTCATAAATGACATTAAAATCAGTAATGAAGGCATTAAGTTTTGTTTGTTTCTCGTGTTTAATTGGTCCCTAAAAACAAAATGCTCATTTAAACATTTCTGAATAGATTGTCTTACATAAGACCAAAAACTGAAAAAAAAAATTAAAATTGCTCGGGTTCTCTAGGCTAGGATAATGAGAAAAATGTACAACATATGATAATGGGGGGCCTAAAAGCACTGTGCGCAATTTAAACTAGTTGTCCAATGCTTAAGTTTGCTAACCAATGTCTGCTAGAGAGATAGCAAGTGATCATAGAATATAAATAACTAGGTGAAAATCCTTTGGTCAAATGGCCAAATCAAATCAGCTAAATCCCCCAAGTTATAGCCCTCGTTGAGAACCCTTCTTGTCTGTTCCTTAACCTTGGGTTTGCCACCCATGCCCAAGTTGGAAAATGGGTCAAAATCTTTCAATCTAATCTTCCGTGCCCCTCTGTCTATGTGAAAATCATGTTCCCAACGTGAAAAACCCATGTGAAAGTCATTGACTAAAATACCAACCTTCTATCATTAGGCCTGTCTAATTTTCTAATAATGTTTTTAAATTATTCTCTATCTCGATGTCACTTAATTTCACATAAATATATACATAATTTGCTAAGTAATGTACTCATTCAAATTAATTCTATTTCCAGATGGTTCAAACATATCATCATGTAGAAGTGTAGATTTCACAATTTAGAAGTGAATCCCCCATATTTGTTAAAGTAGGAAAAGGAAATTACTAAACTTTAACTCACACAAATCGATCAAATTTCAAATGCATCTATTTTTGCTGTTGTTTTATATATTCACAAGTACAAAATAAACCGGCAATTATACATTCGATTTGAAAGTCAACAAATATATGAGATAGAAAACACTTAGCCTTCAATAGTAAAACTTCACGCTGTCAAAGGAGGGGTCAATGACAGCCCAAATAAGTGAATAAAATAACCATTTAATCAGCTTGAAGTTGTTTAAGCTATTGCTCTTATTTTGCTAGCAGCCTTATGCCAAGAAAATACTTTTTTTTATTTATTATCTAGCAATGTAGCTAGTGTCGCGGATTCTATATTAGTAAGAGATAGAATAAGTATTACGTATATAGACATGAATCCTCATTTACTTAATATGTTATATTTTTTGAATTAAAAAATATGGACCTGTAACAAGTGATATCAAAATAAATCCAAATTAAATGAAGTGGAATGTCACTAATTGAACACTTTTGGATATATAAATTAGGTGAAATTTGACGGGGTTGGCTCTTTTTAATCACAACAGGGGCAAGAGGCTCTAATTGGCTAATCACGGGTGGACCTCTTTTTTTCTTTTCTAATTTTATCCTTTTTCTTTCTTTCTTTCTTTGAATTCGTTTATTTTGCAGTAAAATATTTTTCAAAAAACATTTGCAAGACTTATGCTTGTTTGGTAGATGAAAAATTAATTTTAGATGTAAAACATTTTACAAGTTAACAAGATTAACCACGAAAAATGTCTTACACCCTTGAAAGGCATAAGACATTTTTTAAAAAATAACGAAAACACTTTTATATTAAGTTTATGAGTATAAGTTTAATGAATATTAATATTTAATTTAAAATATTAAAAAATAAAAAATATTAATATTTAACTTTAAAATAATTAGTTTAAAATATTAATATTTAAATTATTCAACACTATTAAAATTAAAAAAATTATTTTAATGAAACCATTCGATACAATTAAATTTTTTATTTATAAATGGAGTAAATCTTACTAATAATTATAATAAAAAATATTTCAATGATCATCATTTGATGAATACATATTTATAATGGGTATAAATCTTACTAATAATAATAGAAAAAATATTTCAATGATCGTCATTAATGAATACATTTTTATAAATATAGGTTTTGAATATCTTACATAATTGATGAATATTTATATTTTTATAATTATGATAAAAGAGTGATAAGATGAAATTTTTTAAAAAAATTATAATTTCTTTTCATTACAGATATGCGGTTAAGTGGTTTAGGAAATATCATTATTGATTTTGTCCATTTTTATTTTCATTCTTAATTTTGATTCTAAATTAGTGAAAATCAAATATCAATATTATTTTGCAATTAACTCCTATTTATTGTTTTAGCATTTAAATAACTCCATCATGATGGAAAATATTTTTCATAAAACAATCCAAACAATAAAAAATATTTTCGACAGTTTATCCAAATAATTGAAAACATTAAATTTTCTTGTAAAACATTTTACATGAAAAAAACTTTCCTTCAGCAAGTCATTTTCCAGTTACCAAACGGTTTATTACTCTCAATACTCTAATGCGTGTACGGACAAATATGTCCCTACACAATGTTTTTATTTCCATTCCTTATTCTGTTTTTTTTTTTAAATAAATGTGCTTTCTTATGTTGTTTAATATTTCTTATTTTTTTCTTTAATATAATATATAATTAATTATACAAATAATAAATAGCTACATAATGATAAATAAATAATTGAATAAATAAGAATTATATATATTTATATAAATGGACACATAAAGTAAAGACATAATTGATTAAGTAACCATGAAATTATTCTACTGAGTAAATAGACAAATACATAAATAAAAACCACAAACATAAATAATCAAGTAAACAAATACTATCACCTCAAAAAGGTAAATAAATATTACCTTATTAATTTTAAATAGATTAAATTATGTAATTAGTCCCTATACTCTATAAAAAAAAAATTTAGTCTTTATATAATAATTTGTATAAATTGGATCCTTATACTTTTTGAATTTATTAGTTATAGTTTCTAACTTTAACACCGTTAAATTTAACCATTAAATATGTTAACATTACATTGACTATGTGTTGACATGGCATGGGTTGTGTTGATGCAGGACAGATATTGATATGGCAGAATGTTGACATGGTATAATGTTGATGTGTCCATATGAATTTTTTTAAAAGTAACAAAAAGCTGCCTAACCCTAAATTGAGATTTACCAACAAAGAAAGAAAGAAAGAAAATTAACAATTCAAAAGGGAGAATTGCGAAAGAGAGAGAAACAACTAGTTCTAGAATTGAATAGTTTAAATTTGAGAAAGGTAAGATCATGATTTCTAGCCTTATTTTGAATCTTAATTCTTAGTAAATATAATTTTCGGAGAGTTTTAGACAATTTGAGAGACTTTGGTGGACAAAACAAGAAAGAAGAATCGAAGATTTTGCAAAGTTTTGTTAATAAAATTTTGGGTTTGGAATGGTGCAAGGTTTTTTTTTTTTTGTAATTGGAGGAGGGGGGATTCAAACCCTACTCTTTAAGTAGGGGACTAATGCATCAACCAATGAGCTAAATGTTCAAGTGCTGGAATGGTGCAAGATTGATTGGGCATAATTAGTTCTCTTGTAAATCCTCTCGATTCTTGTCAATTTTTTTACAAATTGCAAACATATTTCAATCTAGTTTTCTTGTGCGTATTTTTCATTATTGACTTTTGTTTTGTTCTACAAACTAAAACTAGCTTTTTAGATTGTTGCAGGAAAACCTTTGACATCCAATTGAATATAAAATAGTTTTTTCAATAATAAAATTTTTTCTTGTTTTTCTTATTTTTTCCTTTTTATTATTTTCAAAATTTTTTCTTTTTTTTAATTTTATTTTTCGTCACTTTTCTAAATAAAATAGGATGGTTCCAATGGGAGAAGATAGATTCATATGAAGGTGCTTTTGTTATTTTTTTTGGTGGGTTGTTAATTTTCTTTGTTTATTTGTTTGTAAATCTTATTTAATTTAAGGTTAAGGTGTGTTTGTTATTTTTTAAAAATTCATGTTGACACATCAGCATTATGCCATGTTAGCATTATGCCACATAAACATGACAATGCCATATCAATACATAGTCAACGTCATGTTAGCAAATTTAACCGTTAAATTTAACGGTATTAAAGTTAGAGACTGTAATTAACAAATTCACAAATGATAAGGACTCAATTTATACAAATTATTATCTATGGACTAAATTCATTCTTTTTGTAAAGTATAAAGACTAATTGCATAATTTAACCATTTTTTCACTTATCAAGAACAGTGAAATAATTGTTAGTCCAAAGAATAGTATTGCTTAAGTCACTATCAATAATTAGATAATAAAAAAAAGCCTAAGAAGATGAAGTGAAAAATAAAAGACTTTTACCATGAACTTGACATAGTTAGGGTCTTCCTCTCTAATAGACTTAGAAAAAATCCTTTTGATAACTCCTGTATGATTGCGTAAGATATTACTTACTACTACAAGGCTTGGGCTTCCTTATTGTAGATTTGTGAACATTTACTTTTAAAAATCCTAATGAAGGGCATGAGTAAGGAATCAGAAAATGAGGTTTAGGTTTCAAACTACAAGTAGAGATTTTTTATGGTTCAGGAAGATATTATTCATTAAAGTAAACAAGGAAGGCCATTTATCTTTAAACCAATAAAGAAAGGTAAACTCTTATGTAATTGACAAGCTGCATTTGATTAAAGTGTTTCCCCTTAAATACCATTTCATTCATGAAAAGCCATAACAACCAAAGAATAGCATCGAAAAGCATTTTCCAAGTACCATCACTATGTGAAGATGGGGAGGGAGATTGCCAAGATAGAAAGAAAGAACCATCCTCAAGAGCAACCTGATGTACTCCCTCAAGCTTGCAACACATCATCCAAATGCTAAATGAGAAGGTGCAGTTAAAGACAAACAGTTTCTAAATTATCTTTATAGAAAGTGCATTTGACAGAATACACATCGAATAAACCTTTTTCATTAATTTAACTTTGATTGGCACCTTGTCAATAGAAAATTTCAATTTTGGGAAGTGTTATTGTCAAGAGTTCATGTTTCCAACATAAAAAAAATACCTATTAGGTGGAGGAATGCCCTCCTTTATAAACCCAAGAATCACCTTCTCTCTTATTGATGTAGAATTTGTGATCTTGATCTTGGTTTACCTCCACCTTGGTATTTCTCATAAGGGTCTCACATCAATGAAGATTAGGTCTGCTTTGATACCACTTGTCATGGCCTCATGTTGCTACATGAGGTCTCTTAAAGACATGCATGTTAGGTAAAGAAAAACATTATTTATAAATCGAAGACTCACCTTATCTCTTATTGATATAGAATCTATGACACTAGTCCATAACTAACTACTTTCTAAATACTCAATGTGTGTAGGGACAAGGCATAAAATGCTTTATTGAAGATCATTACTAAGCAAAATTGATCCATCCTACACATGGTAGGTATTTTTCAATTACTAAAACAACCAACAACCAAATATAGGTCAACATGATCCATGGAAGTGATAAAATTAGAAAAAAAGGACAAAGCTATAAGATCAAAAAACATACCCTTAATTTCTTCAAGATTTTTAACAACATTGAAATTAATCCTAACATACCATAACATAGTAGATGAGAGTTTGAGATTGATCAAATCATTCCAAAGAAAACTCCTTTTAGCAGCATCTTTACGAGCATAAATTTTAATAAAAACACAAAGCAAATTAAGAGATCTAATTGTACCTTTATGAAAAAATATCTCTAATTAACCATGGAATAATCAAGCCCAAAGGAATCATCATACCAAATAGAAATAAGACCACTGGAAGATCACAATGACCATGATTATTCACCGTTAAAAGCATTTTTTTTCCCAAAGAGATTTCAACAAACGGGAATCAATTAAGCTTACTTTTGCATGTTTCAAAGAAACTATATTCAAATTAAAATTGAAAATTAGTCTTCTAATAGCCCTTCTCTTTTCTTTCTTGCCCACACTTCTTACATTCCAAGATAAAAGATTAAGGGGGTGGTTTGGCATAGTTGACTTAGGATTTAAAAATTGAGAACTCCTCAATAAATGGTTCTGGCAATTTGCAAATAAGTCATAAAGTTTATGGAGAAAGGTGGTGTCTATTAAGAATGAAACATATCTACAAACCCTTTTTCCAATAACTCATTCATGTAAAACATCATCTTTATGGAGGAATATTATTCGCCCCAATGCTCCTCTAACACTCTCCATAACACAGTGACCACTAATCTAGGCTATTTTCTCAAAACAATCAATGCATTCATTTATGGATTGACCCATGACTCAATGACTAGTCTTTCTCCCATAGATTCCTAAGAATCAATGTCTTTGCCCCAACCAAATAGGTATAGTAGATGATTTTGGTCCATGGTATGGTATTCATTGAAAATGGTCTATTAACCTAAGGTATAGTCCTTTTAATTGAGAATTAAGACAATGGAATAACTTTATAGACATTATGAATAGTATTCAACTACACTCTTTTAACCCCCAACAAAGAAATTTGAAAAAACTCACTTAGTGGCGACTACACTTCCTCCTCTTTTAACAAGATATCAGATAATCAACATATTTATCTTATAATTGTCAATTACAATCTTTAATTTATTTATTTTATTTATATTATCTTCTCAAAATGATATCCTTAAAATTAAGGGATTCAATTCTAATGTACTATGTGTATATATTGGTTTGATTTATTAATAAAACGTGAGTGGAATTCCATTTTCTTCATTGGTATCAGAGCAACTTACCTAAATGCTCTTTTCCTCTATCATCTTTTCTCCCTTATATCTCATCTTTATCAATGCCGGAATAAAATTTCTCAACAAATCAAACTATCCGTTCACCTATTCCAATATCCAATACCTTCACCTCCCTCACCTCATAACAAAATCTCCTTTCAATTAATACCGTTGCATAAACTCCTTTTAAGCTCACTGTCATTAATTATATTTTGTGGCACACTCAATGGCTATCTCTTTTAATTAGATATGACCTTATTAGTTATGTCAATAACACTCCTGATGTTTCGAACAATAATAGTATCTCATTTTGGATCTGCTAGGATCAATTTCTTCAAAATGCTTTCATTGCCTCTTTATCTCTTGAAATGTTTCCATTTGTAACCTTCTTAAAGATATCTCATGATCTTTAGGCCAAGCTTCATCTTATATATGCCAAACCCACTCGATGATGAATCATGAGTCTTTGAGACACCGTAAACAAAACTACCAAAGGTACTACTAACATATCTTCCCAAATGCATACCATTAAACAAGTCAGTGACACTCTTGCTATTATTGATACGCCTTTATATGACGAAGAAGCTATCTTTCACGTTCTTAATGGTCTTGGTTTTGACTTTAAGGAGATTGAAGCTACTATATGTGCCCATGAATCTATTATATTTTTTGAAGAACTTCATCACAAACTTGCAGATTATGAAGCATTTTTGAAATGAGATGCTGAGTCTAATACAACTCTTATCACTACCAACATCAATCGAAATAATATAAACAGATAAGATAACAACAATAAAGGAACCTCGCAAACACGCCAAGGATAGTTTTCCTCAAATCAAATTGGCTATAGGCAAAATCTATAAACCTAAACTAAAGCTATTTGCTAGTTTTGTGAAATTTTTAAACATGTTGCTAAAAAGTGCTGCAAATTACAAACTGATATTCCTCAGATGTTTCAATCATCTACACCTAATTTCAATCCTTCATCTATGCCTCCATCGCCACATTTCATGATGTCATAACCACAAAGCCACCTTGTCACTAACTTTTCACCAAAGTAGGTAGTTGATTCGGGTGTTTCTCATCATGTGACATCTAATCTTAATAATTTGTCCCTTCACTCTAAGTATGATGGATTAGATGAAATTATTATTAGTGATGGTAAAAGTCTTGGTATTACACATAAAAGATTCATTACACTTCCTTCCTTTACTAAACCTTTTTATCTTTTTAATGTTTTTTGTGTACCAAGCATGAAAAAGAATTTGATTTAAGTTTTCAAATTTTGTTCATCTGATGATGCTATAATTGAGTTCTAATCTTCTTCATTTGTTATGAAGAATTTTTGCATAAGGGCACCATTAGCAGTGGGGAAGCTTAAAGATGGCTTGTATGAATGGTCAACCCATTCTACCATATCGTCTTATTTTGTCTCTTTTTCTCTTTTTGCTCTTGCTACTATCAAAGCTTCATTCCAAGACTAGCACAATTGGCTTGGTCATCCCTCTTACACCATTTTACGCTACATTCTCAACTCATTTCCTTTATCTATGTCTTCTATTGTTCGCAATAAATTTTCATGTAAACTTTGCAAGTGTAATAAAATGCATAAGATTAGCAATACTCCTCTTAAACTTATTTATGTTTATATTTAGAGCGCTTCACTAGTTTCTTTAATGGATGGTTTTACTTATTACCTATTATTTGTTTATCATTATACAAAATATACTTGGCTATTTCCAATTAAACAAAAATCTGAAGTTCTTACCATTTTTCTCAAATTTAAATTGTAGTCGAGAAATATTTCCAATGTGCCATAATTTCGTTTTATTCAGACAATGGTGGTGAATTTCTTCATTTTTGCTCCACTTTTGAAAAACATGGTATCTCTCATTTTCTTACCCCTCCCATAGTTCCTATTTCTTTGATGGCAATTCATCATCAACCAATTACCAACTATTCATATTTAGTTAATAAAATCCATCGGTTTTATATAAATAATATAATGCCGATCAAGTAATCAACATTTGTTTGGCATTTTGTTGGTAATTTTTGATAAAATTTTACCGATGTAATGCCTGTTGGTAATAACTTATTTTTTTGTAGTGTGAACTGGAAACCTATACCCTTACGAGCTTAATAAATAACCAATCTGATTATTAAAACATTGGCCTTTTAAGAAATAGCTAATACATAAAATAATTCATCATTTACAAAAACTTTTAATTAAGTTAATAAAATGTATTCTTGATTTATTCAAAATTTCAAACTTGATCCCTACGCTTCAAAGGAAATAGGTAAGGTACTTTATTCTCATATCGACAAGTAGAGAGATCTTGAAAAGCTTATAAGTATGGGCATTGTACAATTTATCAAGTTACTCTTTGGAGAGAGGATAATAATCTTGTGATAAATAGTATTAGAATGGACTCGATCTAAACTCGACTTATGCCAAGTACCTCTAAAAAGGAGGCAAGCATGGTAGTCGATAGCGACAAGGATGTTTTTGAATTGAGTGAGTGAGTGAGAATGTTAGACCGAGCACTTCAAAAGAAGTAAGAAAGGTGCTTTAATCTCACATCACATCAAACAAGTAAACAAATTTTGAAGAATTTAAAATTATGAGCACTAGACACCTTATTAGGTTAGTCTTGTGATAATAACCTTTTGACTAATGCATCTACCTAATTAGTAATTTTTTTATTTAAAAAATTATGATATGACATTGATGTGTTGGGCAACAATGGTTGATGTGGGTTACATTTGGACTCTCTGCAAATTAATGTTGATGAAAGATGAAATAAAAAAAAAAAGAAAAGAAAGAAAGTAAAATCCAACTTAAGCAAATGTCATCCAAAACTTTTACTTGTATAATAGAAATATTCAATTCTTTTATCACCTAGGATAATTTATTATATTAATAGCAGATATTGAATATCATTTGATTTTATTAATTGATTAAAATTGATAAAATAAAATTTTAAATTAACCATAGTAAAATTTGTAAGGTGTTTCATCCTAATTTAACTATTTTTCGTGTTGGCCGAAGAAAGAAAAGTTAAGTATTTAGCCTTAAAAATTATGAGGCAATTTGCTGCCAAACATGCCATTGCCATTGGTATCTAATAGTAATAAAACAGAAAGTAGTTGTCGGATAATACATAGAAATGAAAATTGAGGATGTTTTGGGTAATTTGAACAAAAATGCGGTCCTTTTAGGTAATTCAATAATTCAAAAACAGATATGAAAAATAGTGGAGCATCGTCATCTACTCCCCTCTGCAACTTTGCTTCAAAGAACATCGAAAATAACAAGGTTATTTGATTTTTTTTAGTTTTTATTTTTGTAATTTCTATAATTTACCATAATTCACTACTAACCCACAAAAAGCAACAAGTTAAAGCCCAGAAAAATGCAAGTTTTAGCTTGCAGCAATTCTTGTTCATTAAACGTTAACTGCAACAACGTTAAGAGTCAGTCGTCCATGGGTCGGCGTGAACTCTTGTCTACTTTATGTTCCAGTGGCTCCCTCAAAGACATTGTTTCTCCAAAACCCATTTCCATTGTACGGTTAGTTTTCACATTCCTTCATTAAATTCTGCTAATCTTTTATACCCATTTAGCTTTTTGGCTGTCTTTGCTTGGTCAAATTAATAAAGTTTTCCATTTTCTTTTTACCTTCTTTATTTATTTGACTCATTTTTAATTTTGTTGTAGTTTTTGTCTAGTATTTATAAGAGCGTTTGTGCTTGTGCTGTATATAATGCTTATGTTTCATTTGTGTGGAAGTTTTGTGTGTATTTATGTATGTACCAATGTA